GCAGAACTGTCAAGTTCGCGACGTTACCACATTTTCTTCCATTATAACCCTGGTAACCAGTTTGCTAGTTCAGATGCGTCCCGAAGAAGTGCGCAAGAAAACAGTCTAAAATTGCGACAAAAGTGCATAATATCTGTGATTGAACGAGTACTTACTGTACTATTGCAGTAGTCTGCTGTAAGAAGCTACTTTTCGTGCAGTTTTACAGCAGAATTGCAAAGGAATGGTTACCAGGGAAGCCGCCAGAGTCAAAAGAGCACTTACATGATATTTTTAATTATTCCTTGCGTCGACTAATATGGGTATGATATAAGCTCTAACGTCATCAAAATTCACGAAAATATTTTATGAATACTTAGAATCGACGAATTTGAAGATTTTCTCTTCATCTCTCAACTGACTAGAGAGTACCTGTAGAACCTCCTTAATGTTTATCTTGCAGTCATTTATTCACGTGTCAACAGCTTATGCGAACTGCCATGTGAAACATATCGAAGAGCGGTTCTACTCATATCCTATTAATCACAAAAACTTTATTACGTTCACACGTAACTTACACGAGAACATAATTGAGGAAAAAATATCTAGATAATTCTTTAATGCTTAATATAATAAAATAATTAAATGTATATTAATAAAAAAAGATAATCTATCGTTTGGCTAGAATCAGTTCACAATGGCCGAATACATATACATTCACAAAAGCGAATGCGGAAGGACTTCTCAAAGACGAAAGCGGAAATTTGCCAGTAGGAATATTTCGACCTGAAATAGGTAACAGAATAATTATAAAAAGTAGCAATTTTTTTTGCTAAAGAATTTATTAAATAATATGTATATTTTATTATTTTCAACTGGTTTGCATAATTATGTGCTATAAAATTCTATAATTGTAAAATAATAATAAACAATCGCGGATGTGTGTGTGTGTGTGTGTGTGTGTGTGTGTGTGTGTGTGTATGTCACGTTTAGTTAACATTGTTAACAATAAGTTTGATTCTCGCGAATCTACATAACCAGGAATAATTAAGATTTCTTTCAGTTTTATTTAGCGCCGAGGAACCACTTGTCGGATGGATAGATAATATGTATGGGCCACAAGATGTCACGGTGTCTTCGGTACTTGGTATCACAAGATTTCTTTCTTGTAATCCCGATGTTAAGGCAAATATAGTGCCCGTCGATTTCACGGTAAGTGCTTTGATCGCTAGTGCGTGGAACGTCTATAATCAATTCAGGTATGATGAGATATTTAACCAACATCTAATTTATATAAAATTTTACTTCTATTATTTTTTAGAACATCAGATTAGAACATCAGTTAATGGCATGATAATGGTTTAACTTTATAAATTGTTTAGATTATCTTTTAAACATAATCTTTAATGACCTATTATACATTATATATATTATTTCTTAATGCTTGTTACAAACTAACATCGTGAAGATATAACAATTACCTAAATATGAAAGGTAACATATCAAAATAGCAAAAAAATTAGTATTCAGTTGCTATTATCATTTACCTGAATATTAGAAAAATATTATATAATAAAACTATTCCAAAATACTATAGTTTGTGGGAAGGAAAGCATATTTTTAAATAGCATGATACACTCGGGCGAATATGTGTATTTAAATATATTAGCTTACAATATTAGGTATTACCATAATCACAAAACATCAGCATATAATTATAAATGACTCTGGTATGTAAAGAAGTATAATGTACAACATAATTATGTTTAAATAATTTTACTTTGTAGGAGAGGCAAGGATACATTAATTTATAATTTCGTGTCACCAATCGATGGACCTACTTAAAATGAATCCCGTAATGCATTTGTCGACACAAATAAGATGTACCCCTTGATGCCATATATTTTCCCTTTATAGTTTACGTCCAACATAAAATACTACATAGAATTTGCGTTTGACTCGGTCATTTCCTCCCGGCTTTACTTACAAATGCTGTAAGCATCAGTAAGCGCATAAAATGTCTTTCAATTCAGGTAATTATCACAGATATAATCGCCATGACGCAAAATCTCTTTTTTTACGAGCAAAATTATTATTTCAATGAATTATTCAGATACATTCTTAATACATATTAATACATTCTCATCTGATCCACGCGTATTTGATAGCGATAAAAATAACACAGGCCCACAAATAAAAAAAAGTTGTCTGCGCCATGGACTAGACCATGGTATATTCCCATGTATTTTCGCCTGCTGAAACCAAATATGACCTCAGTTTTGCCCTTACACGTCAGAATTTTTTTCTAAAGCCAAAAACAGAGTAAAAAACTTGTGTGAAGTTGGCCCCGCACTTTTTGAATTCTATATTTTTAATAATTGTGCTACATTGTACTACGTTTGTGCTGTATTGTGCCGCAAACCGCAACTCTGTAACTCAAAGCGTACTCGAGAAAATTAAAAAATACAAAATTTTTGATAGCCCCGCACTTTTCGAATTTTCAGTTTTTTTTTTATTGTGCCGTATTGTGCTGCATTTGTGCTGACTTGTGCCGCAAATGCGAGATTGATAACTTCAATAACAATTAAGAAAAAAAATAAAAACAAAATTATATTAGCCCAGCACTTTTCCCAAAATAAACCCAATTTTTTTTGGTTGATAGGTAGTAATTTGTGCCACATTGTGCCGTTGGAATAAACGCGACATCTCTTTTCATTTGGCAGATAAAAAATATTAAATCTCAAAAACAAAATAACAAATAATTATTTTTAAAACGCATTTACCGAACTTTTGTAAGCTGTGCTGAGTTTCGCTAGATGAATACAACAAAGAAGTGGCCGGAGATGCATAGAAAGTTGTAGGGGTTGAAAATAATGGGCTAAGGGAGGGGGAAAATAAGGGTGAGAAAAAAACTTTACATTTTTAAAATTTGTAAAATTGTGCCGGGTTGTGCTCGGTGAGTACAATAACTTTTCCTAATGACAAAATGTCCACAAATCGTTAGTTTACGCAGCACAAGTATCTAAAGAAAGCAGTTTTGTGCTCGACTAGCACAATTCAGCACAAGTCGCAAAATTTCATTCCTTGTCACGGTTCAAAAGTTATAGCGATTTGAAAATTGTAATTCCTATATAAAAAATGCTTTCTTTAGATGATTGTGCTGCGAAAACTAACGATTTGCGGACATTTTGTCATTATAATAAGTTATTGTACTCGTTTAGCACAATCCGGCACAATTTTAAAAAATTTGAAAGAAAGAAATTTGTTCTCACCTCCATCCCCTTTGGCTCATTATTTTTAACCTCTGCAACTTTCGATTCTTTTCTAGCCGTTTTCTTGTTGTGCTCGACTAGTTTCATTTCACACCTCTACCAATAATGTACAGTCGTGGATAGAAAGGTTGTCTGCTTTGGTTAGGACGAGTTTTGGGACGCACCCAATTTAGAAGTGGATGAGCACCAACGCACACGGAGTGCGCAGTGACTCACTTCAAGAGCAGACGAACGAGATGTCAAGCACATTAAATATTTGTATAAATAGTGTCAAATAATTTAAAATATTAAAAGAAATTATTATTACGGACATGTATATAGCTGAGACATGCAGTATATATTCTGCAAACGTAAAGAAGAAGAAGAATGTAAGCAGAGAATGGTAAGAAATCGTCAAAAAACAATTTTATTAACGAAATATAAGCAAGGTTAAATAGTAATTAGTTAATTATTTCGAAGTTAAGTAAAAAAGTTAATAATGTTAATAACTTTAATACTTTAAATTTAATTAGCTTAATTAATTTAAAAGGAGTTAATTTTTAATATTAACTAATTATTTTAAAAACACAAAGTTAAACTTTTATTTAACTTCTTTTCTAAGTTAAAAATTTTCTGCTTATTAAATTTTTATTTTTTTATAATTATTAATACTTGTAAAAATCACTATCTTTATCTGTATGTAAATTTTTGCAACCATTATTAGTTTTTCATAATTGTAAAAGAAAAAATTTTATTACATTCTATTACACTATTCTATTCACAATTCTATTACAAATAAAATATTAAATTTATTTAATAATTAAATTTATTTGATGATACACATTGCAAACATTTGTTATTCAAAGTAATACAATTTTAAAAAATTCTTCTTCTTCTCTAGCCTGTTTTCATCCACTCCTGGACATAGGCTTCTTCCATTTCCTTCCATGTCTTTCTCTCCTGTGCTGTCTGCATCCACCTCTTTCCTGCGTGGCGTTGGATGTCATCTCGCCATCTCGTTTGTGGTCGGCCAATGCTTCTTTTGGACTCTCTTGGTCTCCATTGCATCAGGACCTTGGTCCATTTGGTGTTGCTTCTCGCAACATGTCCCGCCCGCATTGCCACTTTTGTCTATTTGCTCGTTCAACCACGTCGGCAACTCCTGTTCTTTTCCTTATCTCTTCGTTTCGGATTTTATCCCTCAGGCTGATTTTCAGCATTGCTCGCTCCATTGCCTTCTGACAGATTCTTAGTCGGTTTGCGCGGTTTAAAAAATTACAACATTGTAATTTAATATAAATAATGCTATTAAAAAATTAACTTTTAATTTAACTTAAATTAATTTAATTTTAACGTAGTTTTCAGAACGAAAAAATCCTCACAAAGGTATTAAATTGGAGCAAGCTAAAGTTTGAGGACTGCACTAACATGCATACGGATAAGTATTATTTAATAAACACAAACAAACCTAATTTAACTCCTCGCTAAGTGTTGAGCAGTAGTTAAATGTGACTGTGATACTTGTAATATAATATTTATTACATCATGTTATTTGTATAATTGCAGGTAATTGATGAAATTTTTTATGTTCTTTAAAACGTTAATGACACGAAAATACCTCTTCAAAATCCGGTAAAAATATTTTTTGTATAAAACCAAATATATATATATATATATACACGGAGAAAATTTTATAGTAAATATTACTATGGTGTCGCACTAGCTGCGGACCATCGAGGAATTTTAAGTTAAATTACTATGTTTATGGTAAAAATTACGTTATTTAATCGTTTTTAAAACAATAATTATAGTATTTTAACTCGAAATTCCTCGATGGTCCGCAGCTAGTGCGACACCATAGTAATATTTACTATAAAATTTTCTCCGTGTATATATATATGTGTGACATTCCACGTCAAGTGGCCCCTCCTTCTGTCCAAAAATTGAAGCGACTTACAATATTGCGTTTGGGCTTAAAATGTTCGTATAAGCGAGGGCTTTCGAAATTTGAGTGGCCTTTTTAAAAAACTCCATAACCCCATGACCCCTTGATCTTATAACCCTCAAAACCCCATAACCCCATAACCATATAGCCTCATAAGCTTCTAAACCCCTGTAATCGAAACCATCGCACTTTGATTATTTTTGTATATCTCCGTAATCCTGTAATCCCATAACCCCTTGACCGCGGGGTCTACAAATTACGGATTCACAAATTCTTAATAACATGTCATAGAATTAATGAGTAAGAAAAATATTTTCTGAATATGTAACACAAGTATTGTGATTAAATGATTATGGTGTTCTATGCAAAAAGTCACGTTGTAAAATTTTCACTTATAATATTATTGTTATTAGTTAGACAATGTTGTCATGTGACATGTTATGTGACATGTTGTTATTTGTGTCCATTACTTATTTCAGTTCATTTCTCGATTTTTATACTTTGAAGAAATAGGATGTGTGCGTTTGATTCAAAATTTATATTGCGATAAGAACTAATGCGATTAATGCAATAAATTGCGGTTTTTATTTTTCTCTTTTTGTTTACTAGTCTTTATGTATTATCTTAACTTATTACACTAAAGATAATCTGATAATGACAGACCGAAACGTTTGTTAAAGTATTATTTTAAATAAAAGTTACGAACATTCTGTTGAGCACTATACCCTCTTTCTTATGAGTTGATACCTTCTTTTAGTTCTTAAATTACACAAATCACTAAATATATGTATTATTTACAGTCTTTATATCTTAAATACGTTTGGTCAGTAAAAAGTGTGTTAAAATACTTTATTGATACTTTATCGAACAAATTTTAAATGGATATAATGTATTATTTATTTTATTAAAAAATGTGCATGTACATAACAAACATGTAAAAGTAAAAATATATTCAATTTCTAAATATTTTAGGGATATTACATTATTACAAATGTTTTCGTTACTATAAAATATGTCACGATAAACCGAAGTTCTTACATGAAACGCTTGCGAGTGACTGATCAGTTCTGGTACTGCACACAAAAAAACAAGTGTCAAATCAACTGATATACTTGTATATACGCAAGAATATATAATCTTGAAATGAGATTATACTGTATTGAACGAAGAAAATTTGCTTGAATGATGTTATTTATATATTATTATTAAACTAAGTATTATATAGTTCAAGAAAGGAAAAGTTGAAATCTTATACTTTCTCTCTAAGAACCTTATAGTAATTTTGCGTATATACGAAACAATCTATATCTTCTAATTAAAATTTCAACTTTTTATTTCAACATTTTTTTTCTTGGTTGAACTATATAATGACTTTATTTAAGCAAATTTTTATTCGTTTAACTCAATATAATCTTATTTCAAGATTTTCATGTTGTTGGAACTTGAAACTAAATATATTTTTAAATCAAAAATATTTTTTTTTGTTTGATCTCAACTACTCGTTCGCTTTTATGATGTTCTATTTAATTATTTGAATGGCATGTACAGTCTTATATTATGATAACGATATCTAAAATTTATTATTAATAAGCTTTTTTTAAGACTTTTTATAAATTGCTTATATAAGCAATATAAATGGTATTACCAATACAAGGGTCATCGAAATGGTTAGAATCATTGATTTAATATCAATCATGCAAATATGCAAGTGTTATGCGTCCGTGATTCGATTCCGTCCCGGCCTACGCTTATACCT